AAGCAGGGCCCAGGACCCGGAGGCCCGAAAGGCGGCAAAATGCCAGGCGGGCCGAAGCCCGGCGGCGGCCCGGGCCTAAGCACTCCTGGCGGCCACCCCAAGCCGCCGCACCGAGGCGGCGGGGAGCCCCGCGGAGGCCGGCAGCACCACCCGCCCTACCACCAGCAGCACCACCAGGGGCCCCCACCCGGCGGGCCCGGCGGCCGCAGCGAGGAGAAGATCTCCGACTCAGAGGTGAGTGTCTCCCGGAGCTACGCGTCGGTTTCCCTAAGATGGCGGCGGCCCCCTCCTCCTTCCTTTCCCAGCCTCCATTTTGTCGGAGACCGGAAAAGGCGCGTGCGCGCGGGCGGTGGAGGGCGGGGCCGCTGCCGGAGCGAGGGGCAGACGGCGTGGGTTCGCTAGCTGGGCCCGGGCTAGGCTCCGGCCTGGCGGAGGACCGAGGGAGGGTGGCCTGAGGAGGCAGCGATGAGAAGCTGTGCTGGGCCCTGTTAAAGCTAGCGGATCTTGGGAACGAGAGTAGAGCGTGAATTGTAGGGTTGGAGAGGTCGGGGGAGTTCCGGCCTTAAAGCGCAGGCGCAGGTCGTGCGGGTGACAGCAGGTTTTTGATCACTTTTTTTTTTAAAGATTTTATTTATTTATTTATTTGACAGAGAAAGACACAGCGAGAGAGGGAACACAAGCAGGGGTAGCGGGGGAGGGAGAAGCAGGCTTCCCGCGGAGCAGGGAGCCCGATGTGGGGCTCGATCCCAGGGCCCTGGGATTATGACCTGAGCCGAAGGCAGACGCTGAACGACTGAGCCACCCAGGCGCCCCTCTTTTTTCATTTAATACTTGATCACCATTTCAACTTAATGTCTGCTACGATTTAGGTTTGTCAGGGACACTCAACATAGACAGCTGATGAGGTTGCTTGTGTTGAGTCGAGTCTAGAGAGGGCTGTAGGTCTATTCTCGAGTGTTCTGGATGGTTTGGGCTGTTTGATGTTTGGATGGTTACTAAGTCGGAAATACGGCAAATACAGAATCTTGACTTTAAATGGAACAGAAGAGCAACCCGATTGGTGGTATTAACCCAGTCTGGGAACAGCAAACACTGTTAAACTGGATTTTTCTACTTGCTAAGGTCACTGGTTTCTGAAAATTTCCTTCCTTTCTCATTAGGGGTTTAAAGCCAACTTGTCTCTCTTGAGGAGGCCTGGAGAGAAAACTTACACTCAGCGTTGTCGGTTGTTTGTTGGGAATCCACCTGCTGATATCACAGAGGATGAATTCAAAAGACTATTTGCTAAATATGGAGAACCAGGAGAAGTTTTTATCAACAAAGGCAAAGGATTTGGGTTTATTAAACTTGTGAGTTTTTTTTTTTTAAATGTGGATTTAGAGGGTTTTTTTTCCTTGTTTTTCACTATTACAAACTCTGGTGTTCAAACCAACAGCAATAAGTTGGTCTTTAAATAATTTTCACCATTTTTACAAAAAAGATGCCATGTTGTGAATAATTGATACTAAGAAAAGAGAGGAGTGGGTGGGTAAGACCTTTACCTACCCTGGGTGGTGTCAGGGAGGGCTGCCTGAAGATACTTGAACAGAGCTGGAGGAAGAAAGGGAGTGGGAGTTAGGCTTTTGACAGTTTTAGAGTGGGCACTAACCAATGTTGAGCTTATATTAACATGAGTGTGTCTGATACTTTCAGGAATCTAGGGCATTGGCTGAAATTGCCAAAGCTGAACTTGATGATACACCCATGAGAGGTAGACAGCTTCGGGTTCGCTTTGCCACACCTGCTGCTGCCCTCTCCGTCCGAAATCTTTCACCTTATGTTTCCAATGAACTGTTGGAAGAAGCCTTTAGCCAATTTGGTCCTATTGAAAGGGCTGTTGTAATTGTGGATGATCGTGGAAGATCTACAGGGAAAGGCATTGTGGAATTTGCTTCTAAACCAGCAGCAAGAAAAGCCTTTGAAAGATGCAGCGAAGGTGTTTTCTTACTGACAACGTAAGTTCATATGCTTATCCTACTTTTTATTTATTAACTTGGATGAAGAAGTTGGGATAAAACCGAAACCAGTTAAGATGGAACCATTTTTGTTATTAGAACTCCTCGTCCAGTCATTGTGGAACCACTTGAACAATTAGATGATGAAGATGGCCTTCCTGAAAAACTTGCACAGAAGAATCCAATGTATCAAAAG